TTTATTTTAAAATATATATTATACACTATTTTCCATAATTCAAATGTATTTTTTTTTTATTTTAAAATATATAAATTTTCCATAATTCAAATGTTTTTTTTTTATTTTAAAATATATATTATACACTATTTTATAATTCAAATGTAGATTTTTTTTTATTTATTTTTAAAATATATATTATACACTTTTCCATAATTCAAATGTAGATTTTTTTTTATTTTAAAATATATATTACACTATTTTATAATTCAAATGTAGATTTTTTTTTTATTTTAAAATATATATTATATAATTATTTTCCATAATTCAAATGTAGATTTTTTTTTATTTTAAAATATATATTATACACTATTTTCCATAATTCAAATGTAGATTTTTTTTTTATTTAAAAATATATATTATACACTATTTTCCATAATTCAAATGTAGATTTTTTTTTATTTTAAAATATATATTATACTATTTTCCATAATTCAAATGTAGATTTTTTTTTTTTTAAAATATATATTATACACTATTTTCCATAATTCAAATGTAGATTTTTTTTTATTTTAAAATTTTTACATTTTTTTTTTTTCCATTTCAAATGTAAATTTTTTTTTATTTTAAAATATATATTATACACTATTTTCCATAATTCAAATGTAGATTTTTTTTTATTTTAAAATATATATTATACACTATTTTCCATAATTCAAATGTAGATTTTTTTTTATTTTAAAATATATATTATACACTATTTTCCATAATTCAAATGTAGATTTTTTTTTTATTTTAAAATATATATTATACACTATTTTCCATAATTCAAATGTAGATTTTTTTTTTTTTTAAAATATATATTAAATTTTTTTTTTTTTATTTTAAAATATATATTATACACTATTTTCCATAATTCAAATGTAGAATTTTTTTTTTTTATTTTAAAATATATATTATACACTATTTTCCATAATTCAAATGTAGATTTTTTTTTTTTTAAAATATATTTTAAAATAATTCAAATGTATTTTTTTTTATTTTTTTTTATATATTATATATTTCCATAATTCAAATGTAGATTTTTTTTTTTTTTAAAATATATATTATACACTATTTTCCATAATTCAAATGTAGATTTTTTTTTATTTTAAAATATATATTATACACTATTTTCCATAATTCAAATGTAGATTTTTTTTTATTTTAAAATATATATTATACACTATTTTCCATAATTCAAATGTAGATTTTTTTTTTTTTTAAAATATATATTATACACTATTTTCCATAATTCAAATGTAGATTTTTTTTTTATTTTAAAATATATATTATACACTATTTTCCATAATTCAAATGTAGATTTTTTTTTTTATTTTAAAATATATATTATACACTATTTTCCATAATTCAAATGTAGATTTTTTTTTTTTATTTTAAAATATATATTATACACTATTTTCCATAATTCAAATGTAGATTTTTTTTATTTTAAAATATATTATACACTATTTTCCATAATTCAAATGTAGATTTTTTTTTATTTTAAAATATATATTATACACTATTTTCCATAATTCAAATGTAGATTTTTTTTTTATTTTAAAATAAATATATATTTTATATTCATTTTTTTATTTTATTTTCCTATAATTCAAATCTAATTCAAATGTAGATTTTTTTTTTATTTTAAAATATATATTATACACTATTTTTCAAATGTAGATTTTTTTTATTTTAAAATATATATTATACACTATTTTCCATAATTCAAATGTATTTTTTTTTTTATTTTAAAATATATATTATACACTATTTTCCATAATTCAAATGTAGATTTTTTTTTTATTTTAAAATATATATTATACACTATTTTCCATAATTCAAATGTAGGTTTCATGACCTTCAAGTAAAGAGTAGATCTTTCCACATATAAAAATGAATTCTTTTGTGTGGTAGTGATTTAAATGTCTTTCTTGGACTGATTATATATATATATATATATATATATATATATATATATATATGTGGATGATAAATAATATTTGATAATTATATATAACCTTTTATAGGTAGGATATCAAACCAACATATGAAGATTTTATAATAATGACAGAAAGTGATAGTGATACAACAGAGATAAAAACATCTATGGCAAGAAGACCCCCAAAATGTTTCAAGTATCCCTGTGAACAAAGCAAATATCTGAATTTAAAAAGGTGAGTTAATAGCTAACTATATTTTACTGTAAGAAAAAAAAAAATTAAACATTTACTTATCTGTCCCTACTCACATTTTTACAAACATTACAATCTATATAACCGAACAATTTCAAACCAGATTATGTCATACGGTGTACAAGGTTTTTAAGAAAGGACAAATTTGACATCAAACATTAATGTCTTCTTAAATAAATTTAAACAATGTCTTAAGAAAAATATGATTTATGTAAATAAATCCAATTTTACTATCAAACGCCCTGATGAGTGAATACTGTGTAACTTAAGGGATAACATTTACAAGTAAATATTTAGTTTTATTTGTTTCTGTTAAAGCTATTTTTCTTTATATCAAGCACTTTAATTAAAAAGACTTATTTTGTTTTTTGTGAAACACAAAAGATGTTATATATGCGACGTGTCTCTGAGTGGTTAAAAATATCAGTGTTCTAAGCACAAGATTTGGTTTTGAATCTTACTATGATCACTGTCAACCTGGGGGAAACAACTGGGAAATGTCTGTAAAACCATACTACAGGTTAAACTCAAGCCTTACAAGTAAGACTAAGGAGACAAAACTGTTTGGAAGCCATTCAGGGTTGTGCTAGTGAGTCATTGTGAGTAAGGGTTTGCATGTACTGGCCTTGTTTAACTACTGATCATGCCAGATTATATATACTAAAAAAAAGGGATTAGCTTGCAACCCTAAGTTTTCATAAATTCTTAATACTGAGGGAGACCTACTACAAATAAAACTTAGTATACTGCATGCCAAAATGTAAAAAGATGTTTCTTTGAATTAAATTTTTACCAGACACACCAAAAAAGACAGTGAAATTAGCCTAAATAAACCAGTGCCAGAAGTCTTTACAAACATTAAAAGAAAAATATTTAAAATAAACATTAAAACAAGTTACAATATTTTTAAATCTTTAAAGCAGATGTTTTTCATGAAAATGTTTTTGAAGCAAAAGTTACTTTTATAACAAACTCCCAGAGGATAGAGGAATTAAAAATAATAAAAGATACAAGAAAATGACTTAAAAACTAAAATAAAAACACTAAGTACCTTTCCTGAATATAAAGAGTAAAAGGGATTCTAGTAAGCAGTTATTTCCAACAAGTCATCAAGCGAGTCATATAAACAGTGAGCATATTTTAGAAATAGATACAGTTAAGTATACAGTCACTTTCTAGTAACGTTAGATAGTAGTTTGTTTTTTTAATAGCAAATTCAGCATCATCACCCCCACCCACTGAAAGTAAACTCCCTTCTCTGATTTCAAAGTTTAGGACACAAAATAAACAGCAAATTCAAGTTAAATTTTTAATTACTAAAATAAACATTGTATTCATGTCATTTTATATCAGTGATGCAAAAAGTGCAAAAGAGGCACGGTAGAGGAATGGATAGCAGCTCGGATTGAGGAATTTGCGAGCCGAGTTCGAATTCCAGTAGAATCCATTACATTCACTTACGTGTTAATACTCTTGGGAAAGGTATGAATCCTCTTCTCTCTTCAGCTATGGGTAAATAGCAGGACAGACTGGGTTCTATAGCCTTGAATGGCAACTGGTCTACTGCAGAAAGAAATAGCAACCTACTGCAAGGAAAAAAAATCTGCCTCATCAGTCATGTATTGAAAAATACATGATCGCCTAAGCGTGTATCACACATGGCACATAATTGACTGAATGCAAAAAATAAGAGCAGGCCAACCTGTGGCAAAAAACAGAGCAGGACCTTAATTTGAGATAAAGGCTTTTTTTCTTATTGCACCAATTGTCATTATAAAGCTTAGAAACAAAGATTAAAAATTGTTCTGCATTGAACTGATTAGAAAATAAGTTTCATATTCTTTAAAATTTGCTTAAGTGTCAGAAGGTAACTTCTATGGTAAATTTATGTCCTGGATCATACAACACATCACCTTTCACAACAAAACTACTATTACAATGTGAGAGATTTATCACCTATCATCTGTTTATTACTCCAGCATGCTCTTTTGAACAGGAGTCGAGGATTATCCATCGTTTCCTGTTTAGAATTGAGTTTCTAATTCCTTCTTTAGTTTTCACATTTTTTTTCGCTTTCAGTAGCCCTTTACATCTTAGTGGCATTATTGCCTTGCTTGGGGATAATTGATTAAAACAAAAAACGTTTGATTCAGAGATAATTGTAGCAAACTGTACCAATCTGATTATAACTGCAGGCCTGCCTACATCATACCTACTCCATCAAAAATGCAATGCTTAGTGGATGTAGGTCAATTTTTATATTTAAATAAGATTGTTATATCACTGTGTAATAATGACAAAGATAAAAACATCTATGTCAATAAAATGCCAAAAATGTTTTAAGTATCCCTGTGAACAAAGTAAATTTAAAAAAAGTGAGTTAAGAGTTAACTAGATTTTACTTTAAGAAAACAAAAACCCCCCCAAAAAATTTAAAAACAACAAAAAAACAAAAAAACAAAAAAAAACAACAAAAACAAAAAAAACAACAAAAACAAACAAACAAAAAAAACATTTACTTATCAGTCTACTCACATTTTTACAAACATTCTAATCCATATAACTGAACAATTTCAAATCAGATTATGTCATATGGTGTACAATGCCTTTAAGAAAGGACAAATTTTACATCAAACATTGAATTAGTAGTTTGTTTTTTAATAGCAAATTCAGCATTATCATCATCACCCCACCCCATTCTCTGATTTCAAAGTTTAGGACACAAACTTTTTAAAATGTGCTACAAAGCTGGATGCAGTTAACGAGGTTATAGGTCTAATTATATTATATGATCAATTTTTTTAAGAGAAAAAAAAAGAAAAAGAAAAAAAGAGAAAAAAAAAAAAGAGAAAAGAAAAAGAGAAGAGAAAAAAAAAGAGAAAAAAAGAGAAAAAAGAGAAAAAAAGAAAAAAAGAAAAAAAAAGAAAAAAAAAAGAGAAAAAAAAAGAGAAGAGAAAAAAGAGAAGAGAAAAAAGAAGAGAAAAAAGAGAAGAAAAAGAGAAGAGAAAAAAAGAAGAGAAAAAAAAAAAAAGAAAAAAGAAAGAGAAAAAAAAGAAGAAAAAAAAAAGAAAAGAGAAAAAGAGAAGAAGAAAAAAAAGAGAAAAAAAAAAAGAAAAAGAGAAAAGAAAAAAAAAGAAAAAAAGAGAAGAGAAAAAGAAAAAAAAAAGAAAAGAGAAAAGAAAAAAAAAAGAAGAAAAAAAGAGAAAAAAGAGAAGAGAAAAAAGAAAAAAAAAGAAAAGAAAGAGAAAAAAGAGAAAAAGAGAAAAAGAAAAGAGAAAAAAAGAGAAGAGAAAAAGAGAAGAAAAAAAAAAGAAAAGAAAAGAGAAAAGAAAAGAAAAAAAAAGAGAAGAGAAAAAGAAAGAGAAAAAATGAAAAGAAAAAAAAAGAAAAAGAAAAAAGAAAAAAAAAAAGAAAAATGAAAAGAAAAAATGAAAAGAAAAAATGAAAAGAAAAAAAAAAAGAAAAAATGAAAAGAAAAAAATGAAAATGAAAAAGAAAAAATGAAAAATGAAAAGAAAAATGAAAATGAAAAAAAAAAAATGAAAATGAAAAGAAAAAGAAAAAATGAAAAATGAAAAGAAAAAATGAAAAATGAAAAGAAAAAATGAAAAATGAAAAGAAAAAATGAAAAATGAAAAGAAAAAATGAAAAATGAAAAGAAAAAATGATTAAAAAATGTTTAAAAAATGTGGCTGAACCTATAAAAATAAACATTTGCATTTATTTGCAGTTATTAATTTATCTGAAATCAGTATGGCATGAGGCCACAGATATGGAGGACTTAGACTTAAATTCACAAGCCAGAAAATTGGTCTAAAAATAAGCTTATTAACTATTGTATTAATGAGAGTATCACTGTTGATGACTCATCTCAAAAAAGGTACAAATAGTGTTGTTATGCTCTAGAAATTTTAAGTACTATAATTAATGCTATAATTTAATCCTAAAGAAAAAAAAAATTGTTTCATAAGAAGCTATGGGAATATTAGGTTATCTCATATGAAATATATTTTGATAAATGAAATGAGAAAGGAAAAAACAAAACAAAAAAAACTGTCTTCTGCTTTTATAAACTGTTAAAATCCTTTGACTACTTCTTCAATTAAGAGAATCTTCTGCTGCTTATAGAAAGCTCAAAATGTTTAAATAATTGATAATCTGTAGGAAGAGATATTTGAAAAATAATGTGAATGCTCCAACTAAAGTTTTGAATGGTGAACCATAAATTGTGAGAGAGAGCATTGTCATGGAGTAGAATTGAGCTCTCTCTGTTCACTAGTATCAGCTCCATTTCTTTGTTATGGGAGAGATGTTCCAAGATCTCCAGAAAGTTTCCTAGTTACCATTTTCAGATTTCATCTAACCAAAACATACAACTGAACATTTTTTTAATGACTGAATTAGGTCATGGTCTTGCCCTTGGATCATTTTCAAGGTTTTCATCTCCTAAATGAAATTTCTGAAACCACAGTTCTGTCATTAACAATACTACTACCAAATGCCAAGCTGATGTTCTATTGATCACTTGTGGCTCTGTGGCCTAAATTAGAACTTGTACAATGTGAACAGTTGATACTGTTTACATTTCTGGAAGTTGCAAACTATATTATAGAATCAAATTAGCAAAGACATTAGTAAGAAATAATTGCTAAACTAATGATTTATACCAGGTATGTTGTCAATTTTTATGAAAAGTTGGCAATCAAAAAAAAAAAATAAATAAATAAATAAAATTATACAAGACAACCTAATAATTGAAAAAAAAAAATAAAAAAATAAAATAAAATTATACAAGACAACCTAATAATTGAAAAAAAAAAATAAAAAAATAAAATAAAATTATACAAGACAACCTAATAATTGAAAAAAAAAAAAAAATAAATAAAATTATACAAGACAACCTAATAAAAAAAAAAAAAAAAAAATAAAATTATACAAGACAACCTAATAATTGAAAAAAAAAAAACAATAAAATAAAATTATACAAGACAACCTAATAATTGAAAAAAAAAAAAAATAAAATTATACAAGACAACCTAATAATTGAAAAAAAATAAAAATAAATTATACAAGACAACCTAATAATTGAAAAAAATAAAAATAAAATTATACAAGACAACCTAATAATTGAAAAAAATAAAAATAAAATTATACAAGACAACCTAATAATTGAAAAAAATAAAAATAAAATTATACAAGACAACCTAATAATTGAAAAAAAAAATAAAATAAATAAAATTATACAAGACAACCTAATAATTGAAAAAAAATAAAAATAAAAATAAAATTATACAAGACAACCTAATAATTGAAAAAAAAAAATAAAACAATAAAATAAAATTATACAAGACAACCTAATAATTGAAAAAAAAAATAAAAAAATAAAATTATACAAGACAACCTAATAATTGAAAAAAAAAAATAAAAATAAAATTATACAAGACAACCTAATAATTGAAAAAAAATAAAATTATACAAGACAACCTAATAAAAAAAAATAAAATAAAATTATACAAGACAACCTAATAATTGAAAAAAAAAAAATAAAATTATACAAGACAACTAATAATTGAAAAAATAAAATAAAATTATACAAGACAACCTAATAATTGAAAAAAAAAAATAAAATAAATAAAATTATACAAGACAACCTAATAATTGAAAAAAAAAAATAAAATTATACAAGACAACCTAATAATTGAAAAAAAAAAAATAAAAATAAAATTATACAAGACAACCTAATAATTGAAAAAAAAAAAAAAAAAAAATAAAATTATACAAGACAAGCTAGTAATTGAAAAAAAAAAAATAAATAAATAAAATTATACAAGACAACCTAATAATTGAAAAAAAAAAAAAAATAAAAAATAAAATTATACAAGACAACCTAATAATTAAAAAAAAAAAAAAAAGAAAATATTAAAAATATGCTTTGTTTAATACAAAGAACATTTTCAATATTTTTTTGCCCAAATAGGATTTAAATAAGTAAAATTAACAACCCATTAGAAAAATGTTCCTTCAGTTTTAACCACTGAAGGAACATTTTTCTCATGAAAGATTTTTTTTTTCTTAAACAAAAATGTTTTGAAACAAGTTGTATAAACAACTGGCAGAGTTTTTATTAGCATGAAAGATTATTTGTTCAAAACTAAAGAAATCAAATTCAGAAAAATGGAATAATCTACCTGGGGGTGCAGAAAAGACTTTAAAAAAATACAATAAAAGTCATTTGTTCATTTGTTTACATTTTAGGAAGTGGGTTGGGCTAAGAACTTTTCAGCACCCCCTTGTAATTGCAAAATGAAAATCTTTACAATAGAAAAAAAAAAATGTTAAAAATTAGATACAGTGGAACCTCATTTCACAAATTTAATTCATTCCTGAAGATCGTTCATAACCTGAAATGTTCGTAAACTATTTTTCCAATAGGAATCAACGTAGAGAAGAAAAGTCACAATACAATAAAATTGGGAAAAAAAAGCGCATGAATATATACAACAAGGGGTCGAATCATAAATCATTCCATTCAGGTTAACTCGGTTTGGCAATGTTGTTTGAGAACAAAAAATTTGTTTGATAACTGAGGCATTTTTGTCTCAAATTTTCTGTTCAAAAACCGATTTATTCAACATGTGAGATGTTCGAGAACTGAGGTTTCTCTGTAATCACATTTTTCTACTTAAGAAAAACACCTGCTAAATACCACCAACAATGACAGACTAGAAATATTTAAATTTCTTTTTTACAATTTTAATATCTATAAAACTTAACAATACCAGAGATAAAATGCCACAACCTGGTGTCACTTCCATGTTACCATAACAGAATCTCAGTAATTAATAAGACCAGGTGGCTAATCTATTGCTTCATATTTTGTTTTATTCTATACAAGTATTTTATTTTTAAGGATTTCTCAGTAAGCATCAATTCCAAAACAATAAGTTGTTGGATAATTTAATATGGAAAGGAGAAAATAATGGCAATCAAAATTTTGAACTTCTGCACAACCTTAAACACAAAGGTTATAATGTAAACTCACATCAATACTAGAAAGAGCAATAAAAAAAATTAGTGGATTTGAGGTTTTTTCCACCTGAAAACTGTTTTATGAAAAAGTTTTTATAATTTTCAACCAACAGCAAGGCTAACTGTTCAATCAATGAATGCCTAATGTTTCCTGTATGGAAATGGCTAATCTCACCATTACATTTAGATTGCAAAAATAGCATGCAATAATAGATTTTATGTAATAGGTCATACATGTATTCATTTGTATAATAAAAATTTAAAAAATTTTTCCTACATTAAAAATTCTCATTCTTCTGATGTAACTGCAATTTTTCAATAGTGAACAGAATGGTTAATTATTTAGTTTAATATTCAGAAAATATTAAACAAATATGCAAAAGTATTTAATACATAAATACCTACTGAAAACCTGGTATTAAATATGTTTCTTTTAAAAAAAAAAAAAAAAGGCCTTCCAATAAGAAAAAATTAAAATGTCACTATTACTATCTATATAAGATTCTAATAAAAAATATATTAAAATTGCTACACAAAAGCTTTCAGGTTTCAATACCTTAATTGTACTTCTTCAGGTACAACTTACTATTGCCTGAAGTAGTACAATCGAAATATTGAAACATGGAAGCTTTCGTGTAGTGATTAATAGGTTTTTATTATAATCTTTTATAATAAAAATAATATATTGCACTACTTTGTATTGAGCATTTTTTTAAAAAGTAAATGCTACAAAATGGAATTTTACTCCATTTATT